TGTTACATACTCGTGATGTTATCAACGAGTATGGGGCAGAACCAAAGATCAACCAATATAGGATGAGTATGTATGCAACGGAAGTCTGATAAACGGACTGACTCACATTGACTGACTCACATAGATATCACTCCACACACATAAAATCGTGAGATGGTGGGGTCTGAGCCATACATAGACGATGCTCAGCCCCGTACACACATACACAGATGAAAGGTGGGAGGGGAGACGAAGGAGGTGGGAGATGTAGGTAGCACCAGATGTCACCGAGATAGAAACCAGTAGGTCACCGATATGGTAATCCAAAATGTCATCGAACAAGATCAAACGTCGCGGACAGTAAGTCACCAATGTCAGAGATACAGAGTCCTAATGTAACCGGTGTCCAATCTGTGATGCAGCCGAGTATCATCCCCAACAATCTCCAAGTCTCGAACCCGGTAAGTACCACAGCCTCTTACCACCGAAGTCCAACACTGATCTCTGTCCAACTAATATAAGTATCCAGTCTGAAGAAGAAGAAGAAGAAGAAGAAGAAGAAGAAGAAGAAGAAGGGAGTCGAGGAGGAGAGAGAGAGAGAGGGGACTGGCGACGGGAGGGAGGAGAGATCCCCCGGCTCCCAATACCTCAGGCGGCTATGGCCGCCGATCTGCTCAGTCGCCGCTGCTGCTGCGATACTGCTGCTGCCGCTGCTCCTCGTGCTCCTACGCTAAGAATAGCGCTAGCGCTCTGGCGCTATACCATAACGCACCGCTAATGCTGCGAGGCCTGGCCGTGCCCTGAACCGTCGAGATTGACGGTTCAGCCCCAACCGGCGGGCGGCAGCCTCAAGAGCGCCGCCAGGCCCAAATGGTGGCAGGCCCAAACGGTAATGTCGTTTGGGCCTGCCCGTCGGGTCTGGTCCAAGTCGTGGCCTTTCGGCCTGATAATCCCCCAAGGTCGGGCCTTTAGGCCCTAATGTGTCCCTCTAGCCCTAAGTCGGGTCCGGTAGGACCCGTGTGGCATCGAAGATGTAACAGAGTGAGAGAAAAGGGATATGGAAAAGGAGGAGAGATTGGGAGGAAAAGAGAGGAAGGGACAAGGGAAGGAAACAATAGGGCACTAAAAACTCAGGGGTGAGGAAAGCAGAGAGACCATGCATAAGCATGAAGACTAAAATGGAGGAATGAGATAGGCGAGGAGGAATCGTAAAAAGGTGTGGAAACATATAGCGCGGATAAACAGGCAGAGGAGGTCGATAAGCATGATAGCAAAAGGCGGAGAAAGGAGCAAGGAAAGGTAAGAGGGAGCCAAAAGAAAAAGGGAAAAGTTACTGATCCCCCTGCGGCATAGCCGTTGTCATTTTTGCACCTTAAAATGGTCGTCCCGTGGGGGAGGTCCCCCCAAAAAACTTTATGTTACTCTTGCACCCCGGCCCGCCATTTTTGCACAGCAACCTGCCATTTTTGCACAGCGGCCCGCCATTTTTGCACCCCGGCCCAGCCAAACAACGTGAGCGTCGTGAGGCCCTCCAAAATACTTTTTGCGTGATTTTCTCAGCCTGGCTGGGCCGGTAACGCCAGCAGAGCCCACTGTGCAAAAATGGCGGGAAAGTGGTGTAACGACCCAGCTGGGGTTCAAGAACGACACAAAGGGCCTCACCACACCTATCCCGAAAACACCGATTTGGAGAGGAAACACATCGCCATACCAACTCTCGAAAATCGGTGTCAAAAAAAATTTCGAGAGTGGCCAGAACGCGGGTTTCAGGAGTGCTCGCGAACTGTGGCTGTTGCCCCGCCTGCAAAGTTGCCATTTTCGAGAGTGGTCGAAGGCACCTCCGATTTTGGCCCAAATTTCGAGAGTGTGCCACAATGGACAACCGTCTGCGGCCAGCCTTTTGTCGTGTTTGGTTCGAGAGACTATCGAACCGAGGCCTAGGTCCACTACTCACCACATGCACAAAAGACAAAAACTCTGCGGTGTAGCTTTCCATAGTCTAGCAGAAGATTCATTCTCATTTTGCACATTTGGTGGTTAGTGGAGCAAGGCCCTTGCGCCGCCACACTGCACTCTCGAAAACGCAGTTTGAGCGAACCCGAACTCGTCGACGCAGCAAGCACGGGCGCCCTCTCTGTCCAGGGCCGCCCAGGGTCGGCCCCACTGGATGCAGTCGCTGTCTTCCCTGTCTGCGGCGTCCGAAGTGCCCCGCCCCCGTGGTGGTAGCATCGACGCCGGGACGGACGTCTTTGACGTTGGTGATCATCAGGACTGGAGGGA